TCTAAGCTTACCAGCTTCCTTGTGTGAGACCGCACTTCTAAGTCGCCCCCATACGACTTAGCACGTATCCGCTAGCCCTGCATCTCGACGAGCGCCGTCTTACCGAGATCGCCGGAGGAATCCTTGACGTTCCGTCAAGGCTAGACCACGCTCAGCTTCAGTAGACTCACTCGAGTCGTCGCTGAGAAGACCTATCCTAGTTCGCACACGCCGACCTACAGTCGACGTAACAGTAGCCTGATTAACAAATAATGCAAATCTCGAAGACGGTGTTTTGATGTCGACATGGACACCGACGTCGTCGTGGTTGGTGTCGAAGTCGAGGGAATTCGAAGGTCAAGGAACGGTTCGGGAAGGTTCGGGAAAGTCGAACCAGAACCGGACCACTAGTGAAGGTCCAGAACCCAGAACCGCTTTCCGGTCCGGTTCTGGCTGGTGAGGGAACCATGGACCGAACCACAGAGAACCGGACCAAAAGTCCGGTTCGGACCGTGGTTCTGGACCAGACCGCGGCAGCACTAGTAGCAGTAGGCATCATGTTCTTTTTGCGATATCGATTGAATATAATTGGTTTGTGTGTTTAACAAGAGTCAAAGCTTCGGAGGGTGATCAAGCCTCCTAGACGATGACTGTAGTGGGAAGGGTGAATAGGTTTTAGATTTATGGCAGTTAAAAATATGTGGCGTTTATAGAACGTTCACACGTGAGAGTCGAAATGTTGAATAGACTTAAGGCTCGAGCAGAGTAACTGTCCAAACTAAAGTTATATTTGGGGGAAAAAGATCAACTGCCCTACAAGTAGATATACGTCGGTTTATATACTGTAGGGATAGAATGCTATGGAAAGTGAGAGAACAAATGAATATAAGTAACTAGAGTGAGTGATGATTCTAATCATCGGTTGCTATCGTCGACGTATCGACGACAGCTTTTGTCGAGCGTTACAGAAATGTATTAGGCTAACGTTTTTTATGATCCATCATTTTCAGTGTTCTTACCGCAAGCCGGCATGACGTTGAGTTCCTACTACAGACATACGCTCATTTCGGGTTCAATGCACGCAAGTATCTCGTGATCCCAGCTATGCCGAGCACTACGCGGACGAGCTAGAGGACCCACCATAATTTACGGAGCCTGCCTCCTTTACTGTGCGAAATAGAAGCTTAATACAATCACAGCCTATTTGATACCCGCGCAGAACCGCTTCCCTACCTGGTATCGCAGGTCACCAGCAATTTCTTTGCAGAAGGACTCGTCTCGACTCTCCATCGACCCAACCGCTGCCAAAGAGGTCGTCGGCAACCTCTTCCACTCACCCGACACCAAAGTGGGGGGCGAGATCTTCTATTGTCAGGTTGTGGTGGTCTTCATGTCCAGATTGAGAGGGACTTTCGAGCTCGGGTGTCGGGGTACGCGGGCGGATTGTCAACGAGCCAATGAAGGCCTTTGCTGCGAGCCAAATTTGAGGTGCCACACGAGGTCCAACAGAGTACTTCACTTCCATGTTTCTGGGACACGCGCATGAAGTCATGTTCATGCAGTTGTACGACACAGATGATGACGTGCACTCTTCGAACAGCGCATATAAGCAGCAGTGTTTCACCCTGTGGAAGAACTTATTGATCAGCTTCCCATTATGCATTGCCAACTTGACGCACCACGCACAAAGACCCTGGCGCGCAATTGGTTCCGACTGTGTGAAACAAGCGACGATGGGGCTTTGGAGTACGTTTATACGGACGCCGGGAGCTCATTTGCTGGGAGATATGATGAGTTAGCAACCGAGTGGGCCACTTCCTGGGGTGATAATGCAGGGATGTATTATTAATTTTAATACTTTGGATCGCCTGATATACAAGGTGTGATGAAAAATGTCGCTTCATCTTTCAAGGGACCTTGCTTATCGACGAAAGTAAAGCATTAAGATAATGCAGAATAATATGCAGCAATAACTTCCTGAATGAGACGTGGGACTGTGAAAAATAAGCAGACCACTCAAGCCTTTTCATCACCCTCTTCAGCATTTTTCATACCTTCCCATACATCCTCTCCTTCTTGTTCATCCTCATTTACGGGAACAGTATCTTGCTCTTGATCCCAAACAACAACCGTCGGTACCGTCGTCATGAAAACGCGCTCCAAAACCGTGCCCTTCTTGTCAAGGTGCTGCCCAACTTTATCAGGAAGTTGGACAACGCTGTGTATGCGTATATATCGATCTATCGATGCTGAAGCTAAGTAGGTTGGGGATGCAGCCAGTGAGATGGCAGTGCCCGATAGGCCTAAATACCCCCCCAAAAAAAAATTAGTCGACGAGAATTTGTAAGAAACGCAATCAGGAGAACAGACCTTTGTACCCATATGAGATACTCCCATTCCGTAAATCAACCGCGTACACATTTGAGCCATTGTCTGAGATGAAGGCCTCACTGATCATGCAGTGATTAGTAAAGCCGATCAGAGGGTCGATCAAAGAAACACTGACTGTTCTGAGAATCCCTTCTCTACTGTTTTTACGCCACCAACCTTCCCTACTCCCTTAAACACAGCGACAGGTCGCCGCCCAGCACGAGTATCGTAACGACGCATATCACCGAGACGTGTGCCTGCAAGAAGATGCTGTTGGCTCGTAGATGTTGATGGCGAGAGGTAGGTTAAACATGTATTGTGAACGGGCTGCCGCAGTCCGAGAAAATCATTTGGGACATTTTTGGCGCGCCAAACTTCCCCAGGAAAGAGGGTATCGCTTTGTTTCCGTTTTTTGCTACCGTTAACTGGTGCACCTTTTGCTGAACTTTCAGACGGACGGGCAAATGCACGCTCTGTATCCCAGAGAGATACTTCTACCTCGTCGCCTCCGTATGCAAATGTTCGTTGGTCATGTGAGAGACGCCAGTCGCATAGTCGAGACGGTAAGGCAGCAAGATTATGGCTAACACCACTATTATCGTCCTTCAAAGTCGACATCAGCAGGGCGCCATTGGTAGTACAGGAGAATACAGAGCTTTGCCGCTTCAGAACCATCAAGCAAGTGACTTTAATGCAAGAACTCACCTGCCCGAAGCAGCAAGACCGATGAAAGACTGATCGCTTTTGATTCGAGTTTCCTTCCATTCTTGAAGTAACTCAAGTTGATCGTCTTCATTCAAAGAAAAAATTGAAACCGCTCCATTAGCATGGGCAGCTGATAGCTTTCCCTCAGCATTAGATGCTTTACTAATGCGAGGGGCTGTCTGGACGCACCAATGTCTTCTCCCCCGCGTTCAGCGCGAGTTTTTGGATGCCTTTAGTTCTGCCAGTGACAGTACCATCATGAAGAATTTTCAAGGTTGTTTTTGATTCCTCTTGCGAAGTTGGGTTGTACCCCACCGATTTTATGTTGCCCAGTTCATCACCGACGAGAAATCGAGGCATTATTGGTGTGACAGAACCGGCGCGTGACGAAGTATATCCACATTGCTGTGACTAATTAAATTACCATTTTTGTAAATCAGCATTTCGATAACCTCCTTACGCAGCCTAGCGCCAGCACTTTCATGGACGGGCCACTTAAAGAACTGTCGAAGCTCGAAAGGCTCACAGAGAGAGCTAAAGGGAAAACACCATCAATCGAGAACTCTTTGGAATCTCTTCTTCAATCTCTCCGAGAAGTAAAGGATCGCATCAATGCAGGGAGCGTTACAGAGGATACCTATATCCTTCTAGCACAAACCGTCGAAGCAAAGAAGAAGGAAATAGACGAGAAGCAGAAGGAGATATACAACGGAATCGCAAGACTTGGGAGGGCTCTGGATAAGGTCTGCATGTTCTGCTAATCCTCCACATCCGCGAACATGAGCTCACACGGCACAGAAATTCACTCAACCCCTTCCGACATATGATCCTCTATTCATGTCGAAAGATGCACAAGCGGCTCTTGAAAGAACTATCGCCCTGCATTTCTTGCGCACCGGGCAGTTTTCAACAGCGGAAACATTCATTCAAGTAAGCAAATGTCGGGGTGTCTGAGATTTAGCTGAAATCGTTCGCAGGAGTGCAAGTTGGTCATCGAACCTGAGCAGCGAACCAAGTTCCAGGACTTGCACCGCATAGTATTGGCATTAAAGAGACAGGATATAGGGCCTGCATTGGAGTGCGCCACGTTTCATGGCTCCGACATTACCCTTTCTGATGTGTACTGCTTCTAGGTGGTCGCTGAAGAACCGCGATTTTCTCCGGAAACGATCGTCGCCGCTGGAGTTTTATCTGCACCGTTCTCAATTCATCCGTCTCCTCTTGGCAGAACCACTAGATGCTGGCCCTGCCATATCGTACGCAAATGCTACATTGCGCAGCTTCTATCCAGAGCATGCAACAGAGTTTCAGAGACTCATGACTTCCGTTTTGTATCTCCCGAAGGAACGCCTCCAGCGGTCACCGTACGCCGACTTGGCTTCAGACTCGGTGCATACAGACCTCGAGCCACTTTTCGCCAAGGAATACTGTACGAATCTTGGCATGAGTCGACAGGTACCACTGAGAGTCATAGGTGATATTGGTGGTGGAGGCGCCCTGGCCAGAATTGAGAAAGCTCGGACGGTAATGAAAGAGCGCAAGAGTGAATGGAGTCAGAGCGACGAGCTGCCTGTCCGTACTCTTTCCTTTGTTGAAACCAATTTTGTCTCATTACATCTCCAGATTGAAATTCAGCTCGCACCAGAGAACCGTTATCATTCCATTTTTGCTTGCCCAGTATCCAAGGAACAATCTACTGAGCAGAACCCCCCGATGATGATGACATGTGGGCACGTCATAACGAAGGAAAGTTTGCAAAAACTATGCAAGTCCAACGGGTATGTCTTTGTGCCCCTCGAGTTCTGGTTTTCTTGACTCGTGATGGTTTCAGACGTGTCAAATGTCCATACTGCCCCACCGAGTCGACGCAGGCGAACGCTCATCACGTTTTTTTCTAGCATGTAAGACTATTCACCGGCACCATTTGTATTGTAATTTTTTCTGTCATTTTGACATCTCTATTTTGTAAGTAAGTACTACGGGACTTGTGTTATCAGAGAAAGTGTGGCACGACTAAGAATAATCGAAAGATCATCAACCTCCATCACGTTTCAAGTTTGGGGTCGACCCAGCGAGCCTGAATACAATAATTTCACTCGTACTCTTAGTAGGACACTGACGGACTCACCATCATTGTCAGAGTTTCCTCCCCTTCCTGGTTGGTGCTCTTTACCATGGTGCTTTCGTCAATGGAGGGTGTGTTGACAAACTTCGCGAGCTCGTCCAGCTTGGTAATGTCGATATGATACTGCTCTGCTAAGGCCTGAAGTTCTGCTTGAGATTTGACTGTTTTCCGGGACTCCAATAATTCGCTCAGCGATGAGGCCAGTAAGCGATTTCGAGTGGAATGTGACGGAGAAGCCTCCATTTCAGACTGAAGTCGAGAACGATGCATCTGCTGAACATAGTCTGCCTGTGAGGGAACCAATACAATACCCTAGTAAGCGCGGTACTCGGTACTGAAGGGGTCACGCACTGGTCGGACGGACCGCATGTGGTGGTCGACGCGCACAGGGCCTAGCTGGTTTAGCTTGAACATAAACTGCGGGTCTTTTGCATCGGCCTCGATCGCTAGTACAACGTTTGAACAGGTCATAAGCATAAGTGACGCGAACAGCTCCGGCATACGCACCATCAGTCTTATTTTCAAACGCGAGTGGTCTTGGACGTCGTATTTCTTGAGCACTGTCCGGTTTCAAGGGTGTGCGAGAACCTGCCCATGATGGTTTTTCCTTGGGTAGCTTACGGGCTGCTTTAGATGAAGAACTGCCCATAGTAGACCTTGAAGCATGACATGACAGTCTGAATTATAATTGTATGTGATTGACAGTTGTTTACTACACTTCTGCAGCCTCTCCCTCTCTCTCGAACCGACATGCCAGCCAGGCTCCCCTGTAAAACACTCCCTGCTACTGTGCCTTACAAGCCCAGAAGCTTTTGCATTCGACCCGGATCATATTGGTCTACTGCAAGGGAGAAGGTTTCTCACAGAGCGTCTCGCACGGCGATCGGGGCCGTGGTCGCGGACCGTACTACCAGCTCGATGAAGAGACTGCCATTGCGTATAGTACGGAATCAAGGCAGACGGGCTACTGATCACCACTGTGACTGAGGAGATCTTGATTCAGTTCTCACAGGCTTTGCCTGTTCGACAGTCAGACTGTATTCATCAGTGACACTTCCGGAATCGCTCTCTGTCCTCACCATTTGAATGTTCACCCAAGACCTCAAATTTCAAACAAAGTGCCAACGGACTGAGTATGTGATATAGTCAACTGCTTGTAACTATAGGCTAACTACGAAACTCGTCAACATAGCATGAGAATTAGGACAGATGGATAGATTAATAACAGGAACACAGTCAAGCGTGTATGCAAATAGCTTTTGCAGACCCAGGGTAAAATGCAACAACATCTAGCGTTCTCCTAATATGCGCCGCTGCGCCCACTGTTGCGCCCACGTCGACCTGTGCGTCTGCCTGAGCGACGTGAGCCGCAGCATCTACAACACAAGATATCGAGAATGACGTCAAATATTGTGACAATAACCTGCAGAATGGCGCTAATCAGCGACGCTTATTACCAAGTAAGCGATAGACATACAGTCGTGACAGCCCCAACGATGATCATTAAAACATCTGCAATGGCAAATATGATGGCGCTGATTCCACCGCCAATAGCTGAGATGATTGAGCCCTGTATAACAAACGATATTAGACCTTGTCTGGACAAAAGCAGTCAGAAATAAAATACCATGATGAATAATCAATATTATTTGAGGTATGATCCACTTGCAAGTAAGTTGGATTGAAAGATATTGGATTCTACCTGTCTTTGGCTTCGTGCTTTATATAAACTCTGGCCAAATGACGTATAGAACCAGCTGGAGAATGATCATTACATGACATCACTGCTCCTGCTCCACATTGGGACCTTGTCCCATATATAAAAACACCGGGTGATCAGGTGGTTCCACACTCACGTAGTAAGGCTTGTAGCACTTCCTACTACGCTAACACGTTGGAGCCGGATGTGCATCATGTGTATCATGACTGAATTCGATAGCAGCCGCGGTATCGGGGCAGTCGGCTCCAGTTAGATTAATATAAAGACGTCAGTGGAGTGTCAAAGAGGCTTAAGTCATTCCTTGGTGCGCGACTGAGGAAGCAAACGACACCCCGGTATGCCTTGCCAAGTAAAAACTCTGTTCGTAGAACGGGACTCGGGAGACTTTGGAAGCGCAGACATAATCGTGGTGAAGGCGGCATTATGATGCTGCGCAGCTCGCACCTGATCACCTTATGTTATGGTCCTGGCGGTGAAGGATCGGAATCAGCACTTTAGTGGGAAAGTATATAAGTATGGGTACATTGGTGGAATTGCACGACAGCACTGTATAGATATCAAAACGAGCAACAAACTAATTCTACAACAATAATTTCACATAGAGCCAAGAACTTTGAACGCACCATTCGTCATCACGCGTGCTGTCCCTCCCGTATGCACCCAAGCATTTTTCTCGCCAGCCTCTCCATCAGCCGATAGCATGTTACCAACTGATGGTCCTCGAACCAGGATTTCGCCAATGGGGTCTGCACCCTGTTCGACTACGTTGTCTTTGACACTGATCAGTTTTGCCTCAACATTGACACTTGGTGCCCCAACATGTGCAGGTTCGGTAGCTGGAGATGAGGAAGAGAGCATCTGCAGATCAAATGCATGGGTAGCGAAGAGAGGACCAGTGGCAGAGCCATGCGTATATGTGTTAATCAATGGGATGGAGAGCGCCAAGCGAGCAGGCACCAGCGCGTCAGACGGTAAAAGTCCTATAATTGGATAAATATCTACTCTCGTCAGGAATGGAACAAAACACACCGCCACTGATCACAACCGCCTTCACTGTGTCAGCCATTTTCCCAAGTACATCTTCCCGCGCGCTACCGAAGACAGTACGGTCCCATAGACTGTCCTTGGTAACGAATCCTTCTGTAAGGCTAGCAAATTTGTGCCGCCATGCCAGGGGGAACAGGAAAGACTTCTTCGCACGATCTATCACCGAAGATGTAAGCGATTGGACATGTTCGGGCTTGAGGAAGAGGACTGTAGGAGAAGGTATCGGGAACTTAGTTGCAGAGAGGACGTCGGCTACATCTAGAGCCGGTGCATCTGTACATATGTCCTCAGATTTTGAGATGTATAGACTCCAGTTCAAACGTACCGCCATCATGGAAGATACCTGTCGAAGGTAGAGTCGCGAAACTAGCGCCCTCGAAAAGAGCTGCGTAAGCAATGGCACGTCCGTATGGAGTGCTCAGGGAATGACTAGAGACTATGGTGTCTAGAGTAGAAATATTAATGGCCGAGGGGAAGAGTGCCTTGATCGCGGTCACTCCGGAAGTGAAGTTCTCATGCGAGAGCTGCACACACTGCACCCCACCCGATGGAGTCTCGAAGAATGAGACAGTGTATGCGCTACCGGGCTCTAAACAGTAATCAAGACAACGTATGCGTAGAAATGCAGAGACATACGAGGAGCATTTTTGGGGGCTTGAGGTACCTTGCCCTCAGATTCAATATTATTCCAGGAGTGTATAGGGATCTCCGAAGGTTGAGACCAGTCAACCACAATAAGCGTGTGATTGCGCTCGTGTGCATCACTAGTGGCCTTAAGAACGTACGGCAGAAAAGTCTTGTCTGTGACGATGGCGTTGGGCGGGTGCATCTCAAGGACTCGAGCGAGTAACTTGGGGGAGCTCAGAGTAATGGAAGCAATGGACTGCTCCGAGAGTGCGAGGTCAGTGATAATGAACTCTAGAATGCACACCGATTTGAATTATTCTCAAAATGCGCCAAACGGGATGAAGCGCACCGATGCAATCATTAAGCAATATCAAGACAATTGAATCCTCTGAGACAAGCTTAGCGATTCCCGAGCCAAAAGCTGAGACTCGCGCTTTCAGCTGAGTATTTGTGATCTGAATGTGAATACAACGCAATGAGCTGTCCGTTCACTATCTACGAAAAGGCAGTCGAACGTACTTTCGTAGACCAGAGAGTACGCGGTGCATCAAATTCAGGTTTCACGAAATCAGTCACAACATTCACGTCTTTGTCAGGTCGAACAGGGAACTGTGAGAGGTTCAACGAATGCCTAACGCAAAGTACCCAAGTCTACGAACCCTGCCCATAAGCCCCGTCCCATAGTTGCGGTAAACCGCACTCTCGCCTGGATTCCTCACACGCCCGGCATCACTTTGCCGACCTAGGAGAATTGGATGGACGAGAGGCTGTGGTTTGTAGAGGTTCTGGAGGAGAAATACAGACACCCCGATGAAGCCGAGAAGAACGGTGAGGTCGTCTGTGACCAGGTAGTCTGAAATGGTCATAGTGACCGGAATAAATTGAGATGGAAGAGAGCTGTAAGAGAGGTGTTTGCAAGTCGACGTGTCAGCGACGTACGTATACTACTTACGCTATGCTGCTGGCATCATCAATCACTTTGTTTCAACACTGGTCCTTCCTCATTACAAATCTCGGATTCTCACGTTTACAAGCTAGCTACTTATAACTTGAGCGCATACCGAGTGATCAATCGATCAACCAGTTAGTTAAGCAGCTAATGCTACGACTAGTAGGTCCGAGTCATGCACATGCTTGGGCCATTGCTTAGCTGCATTCATGATGAGAATCGCTGCCCAAGCTGCAGATTCAACGATGCACTGCGTATATCTTCAACTTCAAGTTTGCCCCAAATGATGATTCTATTCACCAAGTAAAACTTTCTCCCGACTACGCGTTATCTATCTATCGATCCCTCACTGTAGGTGACTCGGACCGCTTTACCAAGTCCACGTTTCTTGGGTCTTGTGCAAGAATGTTCTTGCGACAGGACGAATATCATATTGTCGATATTCCGCCACGGGGCATGTCTGAAGCGGGTCAGTGCACCTCGTCCGTGCACATTGATCCTCACGTGACGCATATCATATCCTTCGGATCTCCCCCTCTTCAACCATCCCTTCCCCCCCACCTGCGTGTCTTTCTTAAGCACTATACTCAGTCACAGTCTAATTTTGTGTTCGCCCCTTGTCGCAATGTGCGCTACTACGAAGAAGTTCTCGACCAAGGCCGCCGAGCCTAGGCCTAGTGCTAAATCTACCCGGGAAGCGACAGTTCCAAAGTCGCGCCATTCTACGACCCATCCCCCTTGGATTGACATGATTACCGTGGGTCACCGTCATTCTAAATACTGCACAAATCTATCTTGGATGATGTACGCTTATCTGTGTTGTGTGAAAATAACCCCTGTCCACAGGAATGTATCACCACGACACCCGATGGAACCCGCCACGGCGTATCGCGTCCAGCGATTAAGAAAGTAAGCACACGATCACTGTTATAGCCTCCTGCATAGTTACGTCTGATGTTCTGTAGTTCATCGACTCAAAGTACCATCTCGAAATAAATCCTTTAGCGTCCAGCCAGCTTAACCGAGCAATCCATCATGGCGCCGATAAAGGGACCTTTGTCCTGCCGAAAGGCGAGCCTCCATTTATCACGGAGCCTTTATTATTTTTACGCGATTCCATATAGGTCCTTCCGGGAAAGTTAAACTTGCCCCTCCCAGTCGGAGGCAGACTGAGGCGGCCAAAGAGGTGTGTCACGCTGGTCTCTTTCTTGCCACCAGTTGCCACTTTACTTCAACTGGCCACTCATTTGGCAGAACGCAAAGCCAGGTTCAAAACGTTCCACCGCTGCCAAAGAAAGTCACGTCATCCCAATCAAGGCAGCTACTAAAACCGCGGCGAAGAAGACGTCTCGTGCCGCGAAGCCGGCGGCTACCACCGTGCCCGCCACACCGCCAAAGTCAAGAACTGCTGAAAATAAATATCACTCCGCTGCAAAGAAAGCTAGGACGACTGGTTCCTCCACTCGCAGGACGGTCGAAAGAAAGACCGCTACTGCACAAGGAACAGCTAAGAAGGTATACGCACAATTACTAATATCAATACGAGTGTTAATCTTTGACACGTGGTGGTTGCTCAGACTGCCACAGGAAGGTCAACTCCATCAAAGATCAGGCGGGGAGCAATCTCCGCGAAGAGGACTACGAGGGCCACAGCTTCGAAGCAGAGGGCCCGGAAGACTTCTCGCAAGTGACGCATGTTATTCATGGTAGGATCGGATTCAATACTTATGTCACTATTGCTCACCTGGTATGGTCATATTGTTAGATTTCAGGCTCTTTCTGGCGAATCATGGCTAACGTCTTGATGTCTCCTCAGAAACACGGTTTTTCTTCTCTGCTTTTTGTCTCATGTTCCAGTTTGTTTTTCGTTCATCTTGCTGTTTTTACCTCTTGGATGTACCTCCGCGACGTGCCACTCATGCTTACCTACGAGTTTTACTTCTAACGAAACATTACGTCCATCTCATTCTATGCCCTATCTTATCGTACGCTATCTACTGTCAGTTGCCCTGGTCTGAGTCCAGTTGTACGTATCATCTGAAACAACAAATGTCAGCCTGGTTGCTCAGGAACATGGAGTTGTGTGAAAGTCGGCCTGACGTCAGAACTTTATACTTGGAATGTGGAGAATTTTCCAAAGCCGGCGATAGTGACAAGTTGGCGTCTGTGACAAACATATCCCGATTTCATGTCAAAATTCATTCATGTATGTATTGTTTGTTTTTTCTATCAAGTACTGGGTCGTTGAACTACCTGAGATCTCTGTATTGTTTTGACATTTAAAATTACTTTCGAAGTATGATATATTTACCTGAAGCTATCTCGTGATCGAGAGTGTTATATTATGTTGGCTGGATGTTGCAAGGCAACCTCATGTTTTTACTGCATGACGCTATATGATGGGATCGGCCTGGGAGGCGCGAGTACAATGGCTGTTCCTGATTTTGATTCCGCTACTTGTGGCAGCCTGTGGCAGTGCTGAATTTCCCATTTTAATAAGGTTTCGGAACGCGTTTTGTTTATCAACAAACAGGCAGACGCGCCCACACGTGACTGAACGCGTTTTGGGTATAAATGTGGATAACTTGACTTGATTGCCTACTCCATCTTTTGTCCCCTCCACGCCCAAATTTTGCGGATTTTGCATTTCATCGTCACACATCTGTTTTACTTAGATCGCACTCAACAGTAGCAATGTCCTCCAACACTTCAGCTTCTCCACCCCCTATTGAGACTCTTCCTGCCTCTTCTTCCAAAACCAAGAAGACAGCGGCAAAGAAACCTGCATCCAAGAAGGCTCCCACAAAAGCTGCTCCAAAGGTCGCCTCCCACCCTTCTTGGAAAGATATCATCAAGGTTTGTCGGTGCAATCGCATCAATACAGTTTAATAACTTTATCATCAGGCGTGCATCACTGCTCACAAGGAGGACGCTCGTAGTGGCGTATCAAGAGCAACTATTAAGAAGGTGGGCATGCATTCCATGTCTGTTTGGTAAAAACTAATATTTGCATGACCTGCAGTTTGCCGAGGAAACCTACCGCCTCGAGGTATCTGGTACAAACTTGTACCAGCTCAACCGTGCTATCGCATCCGGAGTCACGGCGGGCGTCTTTGCCTTACCAAAGGGTCCTTCTGGCAAAGTCAAACTCGCACCTAAAAAGAAGGCATCTGATGATGAGGTATGTGGTAGTAATGACGATCTTGTTTTATAGCGCTCACTCACATGTCTTAGAATTCAAAGCCTGTACCTGTAAAGAAGGCAGTTGTGAAGCCTGCGGCAAAGCCTGCTTCAAAGAAGGCCCCTGCTCCAGTCAAGAAGTCCGATGCTCCAGCCAAGAAGATTGCCACGAAGAAGCCCACCGCCGCATCCAAGGCGAAGAAGCCTGCCTCACAGAAGACCGCCCCAGCTGCCACCAAGAAAGCCGCCACCGCAGCAGCACCGAAGAAGCCTGCCCCAAAGAAGGCTACCGCCGGTGCTCCTACCAAGAAACCCGCCGCGAAATCAGCTGCACCTGCTAAAAAGGCATCCAGCGCGAAGACGTCAGAGAAGAAGAAGGTAGGCTAACGAGTTGAGTTTATGTTTGATCAAGCTCACTTTACCCTAGGTTGCAGCCAAGGCTGCAGCTACCAAGGCCGCCAAGAAGCCTACCTCGAAAGCAAAGCCAACTTCATCACGAACCAGAAAGGTAAGCTCTTGTGCTGGTCTGTTTGCTTATCAGAATTCATATCGTCGCTTTCCCAGGTTTCTGCTTAATGATATCCTGTACCACATTGTCTAGACTCGGTTTCTTTTCCATCTGGTGTGACATTAGCGTGCTCCTGTATTTTTGATACCTACTTTATTCGTGTACAACTACTAGTATTGCATATCATTTCATTGAGACTAGTGACAACTCACTTGAGTTACAATTTCCTTGCTGAAGCCAGATTAAAGGGGTAGTATTCACTAGTGATAGTCAGGCTCATAGTTAGTATATGCCCTCTGGTCTCTAGATGCGATCTGTAACCTTAGCGTGAAGATCAATCAAAACTGTTCATTGGTCAAGTGTTGAAAGTTGCATTAGTAGTGGGCTACCTAGGTCACGAACGGGTAGCCGTTCTTTCTCCCTTCTGATTTTCTCGACCTATGTGAATGTCACGATGGTGACTCTCCATCATGAGCCATCTCAGGTGATACCTCCAGCGTGGCTTTGCATTTCTTTCCTACGAGAACGCCCTATGATAATGAGTGACCTCATTTTGAAACCCTTCGTTCTGCGAGAGCTAAAATCGAATTGTGAGAATCAGAGTATCTGGAAGAACTGGAAGTGCACTAACAATTACTACTTTGCGCTGAAGATCTCGGCGATATAAACGACCATCTGGACCTGTAAAAACGTACTTCTTGCCAAAGTTTCAAAATTCACAAAGATGGTCCTAAACTCGTGGTAGGTTGCCTTGACGAGCAGCCCCTAGCTGGAATGAAATTCTTTGGAGTCTTTACTTCAGTTCCACGCAAACGATCATGACCCCGTCGTCGTAGTGCAGTCAAATGGTAAATCATTTGTATTTGCTGGTTGGTGATGACGGTCTTGCGAACGTCTTCAGTCGAGAGAGTGAATGTAATCGTGGGGGTGTCTGTGGTTTAGCTGACTGCGCACATGCCTTGACCTTTTAAAGGATGAGATCTAGCCTCTGTCACCGCCGAGACTGAGGATATCGCACCGCCTCCAGATTGGTCGAGTGATAGTGCTTCGCACGTATAAGCAGGCGATGCTTGTCTTCAGAAAAATAATGTGTGTACATACGGACGCTTCTCCAGGAGCCCGAACTTTAAAGGCGAATGGCTTGTGATGGTATCTCAAGGCGATGCTAGAAAGGGACTAGCCAAGAAGGTGACGACAATTGAGCAAGGCACAGGTTACCCAGACCTACATCTAAGTTCTTAGTTAGGGTTGCTGCGGTCGTCCATAATTATAAATCGTTAGCGCGGCTGCGGTCAAGCTGTGCGACATGAGAGTAAGGACTTACCTTTCCGCGAATGGAACATCGTTGGTAAGTATCAGGTCCGAACATAGTCATGTGTCAAATGAGTGAGTAATGGGCTGGTGTGCACATTGTCGTGCGGGACCGGCCGTTCTGGCATGGAAAGAAGCTGACAAACTTTCTAGATTCTGAAAACGAACGTTCCTTTTTCAAATCTCAGGGGTCAGAAACCTAATCTGCTTCTGCATACATATAGCCTAGTAATACATAGTTGCGGTTCGAGGGAACTGCTCAAACTCACCGTCGCTGGCTAAAGGAATGATCGATTCAAATAGCTAATCATAACACTACACCTTCCGGAATGTGCAGATCAAAACAGACTTGCCGCCCAGGATTTCGTCATCTTCCCGCAGACTGTAAGTATTAGTACTTGTAGGAAAAGCTTCTTACCACAAAGGGTATCGATCATAACACAGCACTGAGCTCCTCGACTCCGTTTCATGGATCACCGGCACCCCCCGAGGCCGCGGCTCTTCTCGAGGCACTTCCAGACCTTCTTAACGTAGATGAACGTCATGGTGACGGTATCTATGTATCATATGAGCCGCTTAAGGTGATACTTTCCAGCATGGCATTACGGTTCCTTCCTATAATTCCGAGAGTCGCTCTATGAAAATGAGGGTGAAATTCGAGTCGTCATGCGAGAAACGGAGCATAACAAAGTGAAAGTGTACTCGCAACTAGTACCACTTTGGACTCGAGGTCCCAGCGATAGGGACGGCCGCTATCCGGTCCTGTGGAGACGCGCTTTCTACCAGAATTTTATGATGACGGCCCGGATTACTCACCGACCCCATCAGGATAGACCTCTCTTCGGAATGAACTCCTTGGTCTGCCACAAAAACGAAACTTTGAGGTAGTAGTAAATGCGTGCCACTCGATCTCTCCCAAGACATCGAACTGGTCATGCATATCATACGTCGTCATTCGGCTTGATTTTCTTGATGGTCGTAGTGCGGATGCCGACTAGTAGTTAACTCGATCTGAACGGAATGTTTGTCTTGTAAACGATTTGTCCTTGCTCGTTGGTGATGACGGCATTGCGAGCACGTTGGGTAAAGTGAGCGAAATTATCGTGGGTATCTGCAACTGTCGCTGTCGTCCCTGCGCTGCATGCATATACCAGCTGATAACGAGTTGCATCGCTTCAGGCGCTAACTACACAATGGGGCGCAATGCCAGCGCTCCGCCACTGAGTCAAGTAAAGGCAAAGGATCGACCGAAGGCTTCCAAAAGAACGATGCTGACATCGCCAAGTCTCTGCTTATGGCATGAATATATTTGAATAGTGCAACACAGGCCAGTGCACACTTATATAAGTAATTTCTTGCAGAACATTCCAAATTCACAACGTGAAACACTTTCCACCCAATCATCCATGACCAGTTCAGAATCCTCACCGCTACTCGAGAACGGCGGTTTCTCAGGCCATAGAAATGTTTCTTTGACTCGTCGCGTTGTCAATTTCATGAAAGGCGAGGATGAGCCGTCATGGGGAGAATCTTTCAAGTTCTTTTTTTTTGGGACATGGTTCAATATCCTACTCGTATTCATACCCTTGAGCTTCATATCTCACAACTTGGACTGGGATGCTGGCCTTATATTTTTGTTCAGCTTTATGGCTATCGTTCCCTTGGCTAAGGTGATAACCACCCCTAATCATAAATTATCGGAAGACTGACATTGTCGTTTTTAGTTGCTGGGCGAGGCTACAGATCAACTGTCTATTAAATTAGGACAGACTATGTCAGGTCTCCTTAATGCATCCTTTGGGAATGCCGTAGAAATTATCGTCGGCGTTGCTGCTTTACTCAACGGTTTGTCCAACACCCTATAGTTGTTTGTAAACTCACGATGTTACTAGGCCAACTGCGAATCGTCCAGACATCTGTGAGTATCTTCATAGGGCCTCTGATTGCGACATATTGATGTTGGCCTAGATGCTTGGATCGATCTTATCAAACATACTACTCGTCCTCGGTTGTTCGTTTCTTGCCGGTAAGGAGCCTCTGTTTCTGAAGGAGAGTGTGCTCACTTGGCATAGGTGGATTATATCATAAAGAAGGAATTTTCAATGGTACTGGGGCTCAGGCGTGCGTTCTATGATTTTCTTCCCTTTGAACCCTTTGTTGAATTACAATGATGTTTAGATCTGCCTCCGTAAGTTACCTGCCCTATCCGTCGCCATGATAACTGACCAAGCCAAGCTTATGACTCTATCGTGCATCAGTACGAATATTTTCTCCGACTTGAAAGTTTTGCTAATATTTCATAGCGCTTGTTATTCCTGCGGCCTATGCAAGTACCACAGAAGCTGGAATGGAGAATTATTGCGACGATGCTTCTGAATGTCCTACTGCGGGTCTACTCTTGATTTCCAGAGGAACTGCCATGTTGCTCCTGGGAGTCTACTGTGCCTACATCTGGTTTCAGGCATGTTCTAATCTTTTTCTCTTGCTTTCCTAATGTACTCATCCAAGCGTTCAGTTAAAATCCCACCCCAAACTCTTCATTGCGCCTACGGATGAATCAAACAATGAGGAACCGGAGGAAACAGTACCTCGTATGGGAACAGCCGCTGCCGGTGTTGCGTAAGTTTGGTTTTATCATTTGTTACATTCAACACTTATCCTTATTCCTCAAGACTTTTATCGGTAACTGTGGTCATCGCATTTTGTGCTGAGTATCGTAAGTCTACCACTCTGTTCCCTTGGTCTAATGTCCGATTGTTCAATCGTGTCAGTGGTTTCCTCCATTGAAGAAACTGCAGTGCGCTATTCCATCCCGAAGGTTTTCATCGGTGTTGTCTTGTTGCCGATTGTGGTATGTTTCAAGCTGTATTTGGTCAACTGTCTCTCAACATCGTCTGTAGGGCAATGCTGCAGAACACGTCACTTCAGTCTGGATGGCAATGAAGAATAAATACGAGCTCACCATCACCATCTGCATTGGGAGTTCAATTGTAAGTGTAGATTTATAGTAAGCTTGTGATTGTGCTGACTGTGGAACAGCAAATTGCCTGTTTTGTAGTGCCACTTCTTGTGATCGTCGGTTGGATGTATGATCATGTATTGCATCTCGGGAGGCGTGCTCACTTTTTTTGTTTAGAGTCGGTCAACCTTTGACGTTGCACTTCCACAACTTCGAGGTCTGTTTGTTCAGAGCATATTCCGCATGATCATATAAGTATCTGACGAATTTTCAGACGATCGTTCTTTTTGTATCTGTCTTCCTTGTCAACCTATTAATCATGTCAGTTTCCCTCATATATATCAGTCCCATCGAAACTGAACTCACCTGTTTCAGGGACGGAAGATCGAATTATATGGAAGGTCTCATGCTCCTTACCCTCTATTTGGTCATCGCCATTGCATGTGAGTCGCGCCTCGAACCCTTTAATCACATTCTGACTGTATTATAGTTTGGGTAACCTGAGATACTATTCATGATCGTGATTATTGGCGGCCAATATTTCCTGACGCCTCTCCCTACAGCTCTCTCCTAAGTCCCTTTGACGGCGGGGGGTCAAAGCAGCTACCAACAAACTGATTTCTGTGCCACCTATTTCTTTATGTGCCACCCTATTTAGGCATCACTTAAGCATATGTAGTAAATTATCGAAGGGAAATCAATAATAACCCGCAAATGTGGACCTTCACTTTTCTGAGATGAGGCTGTCTCCCTGAAGTTCTTCGAATTTCTTGCGCGCCATACAGATGTTCATCTTAATGGCTGCCGTCTCTGTATGTGTGAATGTGAGTGAGCTGAAGCCGACCATTTAGTAGCAACCGACTGACCGATAACTGGGTCATGGACTACAACCAACACGTAGGTATTTTTGGTCATTTCATCAAGCACAGCAGTGAACTCTGCCAGTTCCATTTCAAGCGAGCGGAATTCCTCCCTGAGCCGTGAGCATGACTGTTTGAAGGCTTTGATGAGTTCTGAAGTCCTTTCATATCGCTTTGGATCCAGTGCGTGAAGGACAACAGGGCCGGAGGGGAAAGCATCGGAGGAGTCCGTTCGCGAAGACGTTGCGATGACGAGGAAGGTGGTGCGTTCAAATAATATCACCTCAGTCGCACTGCAAGCTTCAGCGAAGATACGGAGGTGTTTCGAGAGGTTACGAGCGTTGGGAATTAACGTGTTCACAATATTTGACCATGCCTTGTGCAAAACTTAGTGGTGAATCGGTCTCAGAAAAAGAGGAGTTCACGATACTTTGTAAAGACTCTCATCATAGATACTCGTCCCAAACACCTTCACTGATGTCTCGCCGCTGGCTTTCTCAAGTTCTGCCGCCTTGCGTTGCACGACCGCATTCCGTTCGGTATCCCTCACCAGGTCTATTTTGTGCACCAAGAGAAACACGTTGGCGTCCTTGCTGAACTGCGATAATCCATCCAGGCAATCTCGATAATACTCTAGATCCTTCTCCATTTCACGGGACTCGACGTCGAAGACATAAATCATGACCCCGACGTGCGAGAAGATGACTGAGCGTTGCGTACTCAAGTATGAATCCATGAATGCATCTTGTCCACCACAATCCCAAAGATTGAGAATGAGATCGCCCAGGAAGCGGACATGATTCTGCTCGACGTCAATTGTTGCGCCAAGACGTGAGGTGAGGGACGCTGGGTTGTTGGAGCTGAGGAGCGTTGAGCTTGTCCAAGTGAGGCTGATGGTGGTATCTTACAATATCATAGACCGCATGGAAGTCTTTCCACTACCAGACGCTCCCATTAATAGTACCTAAAGTTGCACAATGACTATCCTGCGCGGCAGACGTAAGAGCTTTGCCCACTTTTTTCTTCATCTCGAAGCGATATTACTTGGCGAGTTGATGGTATTCCGCTATAATCAGTGGCACCCCACAAAAGTCGAGCAAACGTCACATAGGCCGGTTTCAAAGTCAGCTCGGCAAGTCAAGCAGGTCTATAGCATTGAGCATGAGGTGAGCAAGTACAGTATTGACTTGTACATATGTCTAGACTCCGAGGGGCCATTAAACATAGTTATAAAGGATGCACTGAGCAAGGAGGATCTGGATTCTGCCAGCGAATTGGCGGAAGTCGAGAGGATGAAGAAACAGGGCTTGCCGGACGTTTGGTGCCGGTTCCTTCCGTGCCTCCAGGAACCGGCACCTTTCGCATTACGCTCGGTCTGAATGACAACAAGTTACAACACTGACTCAGAATTTCTTTATTGGTCAATTCCATATCCGTCGATTGAAAGCGTCACTACGTCTGTAAAACCCACTTGGGCTTGTAGTCCGGCAAGATGTTCTTCGCTTGCTCCACTTTCCGTGCCCACTCAACTTCCTCGCGTCTCAGGAGCTCCAAGAGTTGGGTATACTGACGAACACGAGACTGCGCTACTGCATAACTTGCGTACACCGTATTGATGGTGAACTCGATGAACAGCCTGTCCTGTCCATCTTCGTTCAAATCAACGTCATCGAGCCCCATCTGGTAAATCACCCTTAGTGCTGGGTGAAGCGAGGAAACCCGCGTACGTACCAAATACGCCTGGAACTCCCGGTTGCGTCGAGCTGTGTCTAACTTCGAAGAGCAATCCAGTTCCGCAGGCATGCTGGACTTGTCGCATCCATGAACACAGCAGGAAAGATGTTGGGTAGTGACAGGGATATTGGATAGAGTTGACATGTTTTAAAAGTTGATAACGACCTTGTAGGTTGAAATCAAACGTCCTGAATGAGTTATTCATGCCCTTATGAGAGGGTTTTAATCGGAGTAATGCGGTATCTTAATACCTCCCAGTCGAATAGTGTCATCCGCCGAACCTGTTACGATGAGTTCCGTTCGGCGAGAGCACGACTGAGTGTACCGAGTCAGTATGCCCCTTCAAGGGCTCACAGACAGGCTCCCATCCCATAGCTGGAAAGTGTTATCCTGAGCACCAGTTGCGATGCGAGTCCTATCTGGAGAGAACGAGACTGACCTAACCCGACCAGTGTGCCCCAGTAAGGGTCTATCAACTGGCTGCCGTGTTGCTGCATCCCACAGTCGAATAGGGGTATCCGTCGAACATGCGAGTTCCGTTCGGCGAGAACGTGACTGAGTGAACCAACCCAGTATGCCCCAATAAGGGTTCACCAACAGGCTGCATTGCTACATCCCACAACCGCACAGTCCTATCGTCCGAGCTAGACGCGAGGCGTGGCCCATCCGGCGAGAATGAAACTGAGCGAACTGAGCGAGTGTGCCCCAGCAAGGGCTCGCCTACTAGCTGCCCCGTTAATATATCCCACAGGCGCACAGTGCAATCACGCGATCCAGTCGCAATGAGAGTCCCATCCGGCGAGAACGAAACTGAGTTAACTCCAGCAGTGTGCCCGGTAATCACAGTTTGCGTAGCCATCCAGTTGAGATCACGTCCAGATGCCAGACGAAGAGAGTCGGGAAACCATGCAGAAAACATTTTGGATAGTGCAGAGTTGACAGGCGAGAATGGCAATGCTGATATGCCGCCGAAGACTTCAATAAATCTCTGCACATCGATTGCAGCGGACGAGGCTTCTTCCTACCCGGTCTCACTCTGTAATTGCGATTCCGTGTTAGGGAGCATGTTATCTGCACTCGATAACCATGTGCTCACCTTCAACCACTTGGCAATAAGCGGAAGAACGGGGACTGAGCCCCTGAGCGCATTGATAAGGCAGAGTGCCTCGAGCCAAAAGAACAGTTGTTCATGTTCGAAGAATGATTTTATTTCTTTGACGAGGTCTGGATTGAAGTCAGTTGCTTGCACGTGGACAGGCCAAAATCGGCAGGCATAGGATAGATGTGGCGGGATGCACTTTTCAACTCGTTCGCGCAGACCGGGATCTTCGGAGTTGGGAAGATACGATGATTTCAAATCGCAGACATTGAAGGATAATTGATGTTCCATCACTTGGAGCGATGCGAAAGCAAGGTCTCGTTGTACCTTGGACATGTCAACACAGAAATCTCCACTGCATTTACGGTCTGTAAGGAAATCGCAGAAGGAGGTATGAAGGGGTCGGATGAGGGTGGATGAGTCGGTGATGCCGCTGAGGAGGGATCCCATATGCTCGACAATGACTTGCACCTCATAATGCTAGCTTTTGTCTGGAAAATGGTCCCGCATCACATTCAAGGACTCCAAAGAGAGGGGTTCAGCTGCGCCAAGGATTTGTCCCATCACAGAACGAAATCTCGCTAGCTGTTTGTGCTGAGACGCGGAGTACGTAGATTTATCCTTTTGCATAACTCCTGTCAAGATGACGTGATACATATCATACAACAAGTTTTCCCACTCGGCAGGATCATGGGACGTGACAAGACTAAAGCACTCCATCGGAGATAGACCAGGGGATTCTTTGATGTATGTGTAGGCGAGACGCGCCCACTCAAAAAGCCCACTGGCTTTTTCAGCGAGGGTTGTGAATTATCTGTTCTCCAAATGCCCTTTCAGTTCCTTCGACACGTAAGTGCGGATGTCGCGCTCTGCGGTGGCTGATGAAATGTCGTCCATGAACATCCGTCGAATATGCTGAGCACCTGAGAGCTCAACTTCAATGTCGCGAAGCGGGCGAGAGGTCACGATGATTCGGAAGTTGGCTGGGAGTTCAGTGATTGGTTGAACGCCTAGTTTACCCGCAAGAATGTGGAGAATGCGAAGCCGCGTCTCAACTGCGCCACTTTCATCTAGTGCGCCTATCACGATGACGACAGGTCTTACCATTGACCCTGAGGGCTTCCCGAGTGGTTTCATCAGAAGCTTGTATGACTTTATATTCCAATATAACATTTTCTATATATGATCATATATCGGGATATATGACAATATCTGCGGCTCACCAGTCCTCTGATGGTCCATATCAGAGAAATTTCCCTTCAGCCCATCGTTTGCTCTGTGTCCCCATTTCCACTGCTGCAAGTCCCCAATCCTCGCCGTGATTGTGACCCTTCTCTGCCCCTCTGCCGAGACCAGCTCGGTCTAATGCTTGGTCCTCTGTGAGTGCTGTTAGGACGCCGAAAATCACAGGGACACCTGTGTCAATCTGGATTCTCATGAGAGCGTGAGAAACGCTGTCGCAGATATACTCAAAGTGCATCGTAGAGCCCTTTATCAAGACACCGATGGCCACTACTGCATCAAATGGAGCGTTTGGCATGTCGGCAAGTGTTGGAGTGGGTGCAGAAGGTTCCTTGTTGGGTGGAAGTGACGCCGAGGAACCACCGAAGTTTAATCCAAGCAGATCACCAGACGATGTGGCCGCTTGAACATGAGATCCTGCAATGACTCTATAGAATAGCTGAGCCGCTGTATAAGATGGAAAAGCTGATACGTACTTCGAGCATGCGAAAGGAAGTTCAAAACTACCAGGGACAGACTGGACAATGATGTTGGAGTCCTTAACCCCGCATGCTTTCAGCTTGTTGATTGTGCCCGCCACGAGTGATTCAATGACAGTCTTGTTCCATCGCGCATGCACGATGGCGATGCGTAAACTAGAACCATCGAATTGAGCGCTGGATGGACCCTTGATTGAACTCATGGTTGACGACATGGCCCGGGAAGGGGATACAAATGAGGTAACTTGATATCGTATTTGACATTGTTTATGCACCTCTCTAAATTTTGTATGTAGTACACTTTCAAGTTCGTGACAGCGGGAGTCTCACTCTTGTCTCCTCAACTCATCACAAGTTGTTGGCCATACTCGTAGTGATGTCGGACGCGAATCTTGCAGGTAGGCACATTGCCACAATAGTACATATGAGGAACTGAAAAAAGTCGCTCGCAGTGACATATTCTCTAATCTATGCGTTTCTGAAACAGCAGTCCCAGACAAAAGCAGCTGATGCTGTAAAGAAAGCTGCAAGGAACATAATTGTCCTAAAGGATGATTTGCAGCTCAAGGGTTCATCCTTGGATGAGATAGTTAAGCAATGGAAGGAGTCGCATACTAACGACAGTTCGTGAGTGTTTACTTTCCCCGTGTACTATTCTTTTACTCAAGCACAAGAATACAGTTCTGACTCTAACTGTGTGTATTTATGTCGCTAGTCGTACGAGCTCTATTGCTAAGTGTGATATAGCTTCAGATGATTCCTCTGATGGTGCGTTATCCCAATCATGCACAAACGGGCCCCGATATGTAATTCTGGACAGATTCCTCGACAAGTTCTAGTTCTGATTCCAGTTCCAGTTCATCCGATTCAACGTATGTTCCTGAGATGTATAATTTATTTTGCTCATAAGTCAGCCTAAAGTTCAGGGGATGATGCAGGCATGTATGTCTTGTTATTATCATGTATTGCCGCCTCACGACCACAGATTCATCATCAAGTGAAAGCGAGGGCGACAGTAAAAAAGGAACTCAGGCCTGTAAAAAGGTGCCTGAAACTCTCTCATGTGGAGACCGCGAAACGAGTGCTACCCTGTCCTCTGGTATGCTCCCATCATCAGCGTCAGCTTTATCAGTACTGACCTGTCAAAGATGCCAAGGTTCCTGAAGTGAAGTCTAAAGTCACCAAAAAGAAACCTTCAGTCAAGGGAAGCTCGAGCTCAGGGTCTGATTCTGATTCTGATGACTCCACGACTGATTCTGCGTCCGACAAAAAGCTAGCCCGCAAAGGCACCCAAAAAAAGGATCTTAATTCATCGGATTCCAGCTCCAGCTCCTCTAGCTCCAACTCCAGTTCCTCTAGCTCCGACTCCAGTTCCTCTGACTCCGAGTCTACATCGTCCGACTCCGAGTCCACTACCTCGAGTTCTGAGTCTGAGTCTGAAGCCGAGATCACTCCCATCTCTGGCAAGGTTCCTGTCGGACGTGGCGTCGCGTCCTCTAAATCTAGGGCCAATACGGGCGTCGCATCAATCCCCAAAGAGGAAATGCAGGTAACAAAAAAGCGAAAGACATCTGAGTCTGGAGCTGCTGTAGTCACTGCTGTAGTGTCAACACATCCTACCGATGATGTGCAAGTTTCAGCGAAGGTCAGAAATATCCAGAAAAATGGTAATGGCAAACCCCCACGAAACGTGAATGAGCGATTTTCGAGGATAAAACCCCAAAATATACCTGCGGAACAACTTCTAGACAACGGGTACGAAGCAAAGGTGAGGTGTATCTTTGGTCCACCTGCGAGACCTAACCCTCTTTCTTCGTACAGGGTGGCGTCACTAATGACTATGGCAATCGTGCACACCAGGACTTGATTGTCACGCGGGGTGCAGGATTCAGGAAGGAGAAAAACAAGAAGAAGAGAGGTTCATATCGCGGTGGAGAAATCACTGTGAGCATGTTCTTTCTTCGGTGCTGATATGATCATCGCCTGATTGGTGTGGCAGTTGCAAAGTCACAGCATCAAGTTCACAGATTAGACACATGTATGGTCGGATATACATCGCATAAGTTACATTCGCCTCTCCCCCCATTTGCATTCTCCTCACTCCTCACTAATACACTATGCCAATCGCTTCACATTCGTGCAACATAGTAGTAAACCGTACGTAGCAGATTACATTAGGCGGAGTCGATATGGAATATAAGTCGGATTTAATCCGATATCGTTCTATGTACTGGCTTTGATTGTGCACATTTTGCTCAAGGCTCGTCGCAACTGTGGTGTAAAATGGCTCGTTGGACTGGCTAATGTCACAGTAGTTGTTGCACAGCCACAGACCAAATGCAACCACTGAATTCGGAACGGCCTGTCGGCCAACGTTCCAACCCTTAAATTATAGAATATAAGGAAGGCAATAATCCCTCCTTATAAAGAGGTGTTCCTAGCTCGCAGAAGTTCGCGACTACTCCGCTCAAGGCTACATAGATCTGACCGCTGTCCACCATGGCGGGCATTGGTCCTGCACCAATTCTCTTCAATGAATTTTTTCAGATGTTCATGAGGTGCATGCCTCCAAATGGGTGGCCAGTGAATTCCAAGATCGGTATGTTACTCTTCATTGCATCTCATGTTTGAAATTTAGCGCATTTTACCTTAGCCGTTGGCAACTCGGGAGGACCAGATTCCACCTGCTTATTGTTCCTCCTCAAAAAGTTGCTGACTGACCTGCGCTCAAAAACCATGGCGAGACAATCGATCCCGACCTCGGTTGTTTCCCTCTCTGTGAACCATAACCTCCAAGAAGCTTCACAGTCGATGGCAGCTCACTCTGCAGCAAATGCAGCAGCCATGGGGGTCGAACATCTGACCCTTGACATACCTTGGGGAATACCACCGTTTTCTGCAAAACCTGTCGCTAGTCAGTCGATGGAGCAAGTTGCGCGAGAGGCACGATATCATGTTATATTTGATGGGATGGCGCGCACTGGTGCACATTCAGTCGCATTTGGGCATCATGCCGACGATCAAGTAGAGACTTCATTAATGCGTCTTGCAAGGGGAACGACCGAACTCGGCGCAGGAGGCATGCGACGATGCCGCAGATGGGGTATGGGTACTGGTGGTGTAGAAGGTGGACTTGGGTGGGTTGGTCACCATGGATTGAACCGTTGGATTATGAGACCTCTTCTTGAGGTCAGGAAGGTCAGGGCTGTTTAACATGGATTTGAGTTTGATTTGTTGATGACTGACTTGTAGGACAGGATCCTTGCAACATGTGAAGAACACCGGCTCGATTACGTGAATGACCCGACAAACTTCCAGCCCGAGATCACTTTAAGAAATGCGATTAGGCAAATGCTGACTCTGCAAGAAGAGGGCAAAGATATGGTGATATCTTGTTTTTAATATATGTCCAGCATCACTTATTATCATGCAGTCTGCACTTTCTGGACTACCACCACATATTTCCAGTTCCCTTGAAAGAATAAAGATAGCTGCAGCTGACCTCCAGGAAACCACAATGGATCTCGAAGGTGGATTGCATCAGCTTCATGGGGCAGTGAAGGTTCTTTCGTCGCGACTCGAAGACGTTGATAATGAGGGTGAGTAATCACTGCACCAAATACTCTTCAGATCGGGATTCATGACTTTGTTAGTCACGTTCCACCTCAAAAACTTGACTCTTCCTTCTCCTCCAAGTACTCTCATACTCTCCTCGCATGCACTGCCTGCTATCGTGGATCCAACTGTCCGTCTTGCTTTGGTCCTTCGGGTCATGCGTTATGTATCGTTCCATCCATGGGGATCTCTGCGTGCGGACGGCAACCGGCGCAGGACCAGCATACAGCGCATCATCGATACTCTATGGCAGTCTGACGGTGCCCCACCATTCACTGCTGGTGGTGGAGTACTTTGGCAGCCTGCGATATTCAACGCTAAGAAGCGACTTCGAGTGGGCACCCAGTGTCTTGGTCGCCAATTACAACCAGGCGAGAGATTTGCCTGGATGGCATCTAGACTACCTGCTGTTCCCTACTACATGTTGGACACTGCAACATTATCTTCAAAATTGGATGTCGATATCACGGAACGCCTCGCAATCACCATGAGTCGCGGCGACAACTCTTTGGAAGTCCTATTTGACTGCCGTTTCCTTGTGCGTTTTGATCTGTCACAAATTCCAGAAGAACTGGTCGCAGCTCTACGAAAGTACCGGGAGACAGGGGTGAATGTGCGAATCAAGCCTCACACAAAGTATTATTGGCCCAAGGTGGTGTTGCAAAAGCCTTCTTATCCAGATACCACATATGCTACACTGATGGACAACGGACAGATGGACACATTCGGATACGCGCCTTGGGTAAACATGGAATACATAAGGCTACTGGACGCGACCTAGCACATAATTTATACCTTTAAGTACAAGTACATTGCAATACACTACAACGGTGCCGAATCGTTATTACAGCACAGCCTTCTCTTTACGTCTAGTCTGCAAGAACGCTTCGAAAACGCCACACCAAACCTGGGGATCGAAATACTCGATCCAATCATGACCGAAACGGAGTGTTGGTAGTGAACCTGGTCCACCTCCTACCGGTACCACACGCGCCCATGGAATACGCGTCAAAAAGCCCTGAAGATTGGTGAAAGGCGCGACCTGATCAAGTTCACCGTGGATAATCATGAATTGAGTGTCCGGTGACAGGTGAGAATGAAACCCAGTGAAATCATATTGAGAGGCTGCTCGTTTTTGTTGTACTGTGACAGGATAAACGTTACGCTAAGAGGACTCGGAGAAGGACACCTACACAATGTCTTGACTGGTCTGAGTATTGCATCATGTTGGTCAGCACTGACCACCTCAAATGAAAACAAGAGCACGACCTGCCAGTGAACGCGCGATCTATGAGCTCTTCAATTCTCTTCTGATTGCCTTCACTAGCAAACCACTCGGGGTCAAAGGCGGGGGGCAAAGAGAGGCGCACAGTCTCCCTGATTATTTCAGGTGTCAAGGGTCCTTTCGGTCTCTTCGGTAACTTGAGTCCGTATGGCTCTGGGTTGGGTCTGAATGATGTACAAACGAGTACAACGTGCGTCACACGAAAAGGTAAGGGAGTCGGGTTCGTGCGATGAAAGGGCAGAAATAAAAGACTCTGAACAACAATGCCTTATAACACACGTTAGGTGCGAGCTGTGATATGAATCGCCTTTCTTGAACCTACCCCCCATCGAATGTCCGCAAAGAGCAACCTCGCTCCACCGAAGATGCTGGATTAGAGCGAGAAGGTCTCTTGCCAGTGTTTCGATAGTAAAAGGGTCATCTTCTCGAGCCCGGGAATCCCCCATGCCCCTGCGGCCACCTCATGGTTAAACAAGGAGTTAGTAAAACAATCCTTGACATTTACCTGTGATCATAGATCAACACTGTATCGAGTCAATTTATACACATCACTCGTTCAGTGAGTAGTACTTATTGTCCACGTACCTTGTCGATGTTTAGCCACTAGCGACGATACTTTCTCCGAGTCTCCCCGACAGGTTGTCATCCCACCGACATACACGAACGGCACTGATGCCCCCTTGTGGTCGGAGCCGAGTACCTCGTATGCCAACTTGGTTCCATCTGGAAGTTGCAAAATGGAGTAAGCTTTCATGTAGACTCGTGACAAGTCGCCTCAAACGAATGCGACAGTGAGATGCAGTGTGACGTTAGTCGAAGTCACAGCCTTCACAACGATAAACAGTATAGAGTTGGGAAATGACTGAGGGAACTGAGAGGGTTAAATACTCGGTAAGTGAAGTGCCCGTGATTATAATAGGATTTGAACGTGATAAAAGAAAACCGTAGTGGCGCTCGGCTGCCGCGCCAGTGCCCGACTCGACACTAGTAAGACAAGATATGATCCTTAGTAATTGCAGTACATCCGAGGCAACACAGGAAAAGCAGTCGATACAATTCATATCATGGGCGCAGATATTACTGCGAAAGACTGTAAAGTGGCCGCAACGGCTGTACTAAGGGTGTAACATGAGCAGTGGTAGGCTGCCCGAGTGAAATATCAGTCGTTCGCAAGTGCAAGACGGGGAACACGATTAATATTCTCCCTCAATAAAACAATCGGCAGACATAGTCAAGTCAGGAGAATCAGTTAACAATCCCTGCCTTATCTTGCAAGCATCACATCATCGAGAAAGCTATTTTTGAAAGTGAAAGCTGCGGAAACGCACTGCACAATACATTTTCGGATGATGTCGATGTAACGCGAAGAAAAATTATTGGCGGGCAAGGTGCTCAGGCATCGATGAAATAACAACTTCCGTGGACTCACACTGCCTTTGAGAACAGACCGCACAGGAGGATTAAGTCCACTCCGAGCCTTCATAAGATGTAAACAGTCCAAGGCAACCTCTTTCGAAACAGATGCTGGCCATTCATGCCAGCGCATGATATCAAGATTTTGTGCTTCGGTCGCCAACTCGATTTTACATCAGCGTCGCATTATTTTGTGTCGGTCGAGTTGAGGACCAAGCCGAGCTCATTGCAAGGTGGACATGCGGAGCCGCGAGCCAAACGGCAGGGCAAGTTTGTAAGGAAAACCCTGAAAACGTATGAGCTATACCAAATATACTCACATGTATCCAAAGAAAAATCAAGAATGACTTGTACGGATGCTTAACCCATGGTTTAGGCGGCGGTCAAGTGCATGCAGGCACGTGCTCTGGCGGCATATTGAATTTCAAAGTCCGATTTGTTTATTTTGGTGCCCGACCGATGTGAATGCTGGAGTCACAAGTCATTTAAATGATTATCAGTAACCAGCAATTGCGCACTCCGGTGAATCGTCCCGATACCATTCCCAAAATTCTCAGTGTCACCTCAAAGGCCTAGGGTTCAACTCGACTCGAACCACATCATCATAGCACCAATAACTGGCGCTTCCCAGCCACGCAGATTATTCCCTACCACTCACTCCGAAAGGGTTTCGTTGGTGGGTGGTAAGTTGTGTTATTCTCACTTTACCAACTAGATATCATGATCTAATTTCGTTCCACCACATGGTCACTGCCGGAGCACCATACAACAAACCTTGAGCAGCGGTACGTTCAGCCGTAGTACGGCCCGCAGTAGCCCGATGATGCTGAATCTCGATAATCAATTAGGCACATGCAACGTAGTATTCTGTCGAAGAACACGTGAATTTGCTACAGTTCAGCTCCGCAGAGATCAAGAGAGCTTTACTTAAACTGCTAATTCGGTTCAGCGATCACCGCCGGAAAATCTGGAGTGATTATCAAGTCCTTGAGGTTCCACCTTCGTGATAATATTGCAGTAGAACTGCAACACAGAGCCAGGTAAGCGTCAGGAGCTTTCATACTATTCATTCATTCCCCCATTCAAGAGTGGTGCGCCACAGGAAGCACATATGAAATTCATTCGCCTAGAACAACAACTATTATACTCAACTACATACCAACCTTCTTTTTTTGTGAGAGTCGTTTGTCTTCTGTAACCGTGAGTATTTGTTCGAGGTATCATAGGCGACTAAAATCATCCTTTTGACAGGATTCGCTCTTCCCGCGTTATTACTCTGGTGACGCGGCAAATGGGAAAAATCGGAATATGTTGACCGCACCCGCATTGCTGTACAACACAGGCCTCTTCAGTTGGCTAACATCTTGGCAGGAAATCGGTGCGGTGTTTTGTTATCGCTAAGATCTGAGCGGCGGCTCTGATGAGTTTGGTTAGTGTTTGCGAGACCCTTTCAGAGATCCTATTATTTTCCTGCTGCTTTCGTTATGGTATTCCTTTTCCACTGATTCTTATGGCAGCCTAGCTTCTGTAAGACCTCGACAGAACGAAGACAGTCGCCCCCTCCTCATAATGGCGGCTGTCGAATTACTGACGCTGTGCAGTCCAGCATGGGTACCACATGTAGTACCGTCAACCCTGTCAGATGCGACAATCCTAAACACTTGTTGCTCTACCTTGATAATACTACGTACCTTATATCACGGTACAGCTGTGTGCTGTGCTAATGCAATGCAATACAACGAACGATTTTTGCAATGAGTCGAGTATATAAGGAATATGATATGCGGACGTGCGGTGTCACAGCTTTCATAGAGCGTATGAGAAGTTCGGACTAGTCGGTAACTCACCCACGTTTTCCATTCTTCTTCTTTCTCTTGTGATTCCTGCTAGATCGCTTTGATCAGTACCTACTCTGGTCAGTCTGTCCAGTTAAGACATCAGGAGACGTAAAATTATCGCCGATGTCATCGCAGGGGACACATCAGATTTCCCCTCCTCTCGTACCAGCCTCTCCTCCTTTAACTGGTGGCGTCCGGCGTCATCACACGATCTCAGCGTCATCTCGTGCAGCGAGGGCTGGTGCCCGTGCTGTCATTTCTGAAGAAACACAGGAGCAACAACTGTGGAATGATGATGAGCCCGTCGACGAGGATTGGGTTGGTGGAGTTGGTGCGGTGGGAGAGAAAACAGTCTCATTGCACCGACAAAGCTCTCTCCCCACCAAGTATAAGGGTATGTGAAAGTTACATTAGATCCCTGCTCACAGCTTACCGTTACATTCCCTCCAGCCTTCCATGGGCAGAAAGGCTCACGACAGGCGGGGAATCTCACCCCAAGGACTATGAATAGTTTGTCCGCTATCGCTGGTCACGAAGGCGACGAAGAAGACTGGGAGAGTGAAGTGAGAGGGTTCCAGAATGACGACGAAGTGAGTCACTGCTTAATTTACATCTACATCCTCCACGCCACTGGTGATCATTCTAATTCCACCTCACGGATAGTCCAATATTGGACTTGCTACACGTCTCATCTCCGTTGTCAACTTTTATGCTCACCTGTCTTTCCCCAGCACGACATGTCCAACTCTGAGTCTGCCCAGCATCAACACGTCGTTGACGCCCAATCCCAGCCGTCTACGGGCAATCCATCCCCTCTGACACCTCAATATTCAACTTCGCATGTCCCTTCCCCACCTCCTGCCGGGTCAGGCGTGCGGCGCCATCAGAGCCTGACTTATGGGGCTCAGAGTGGTGTCAGGCAAATGACATCTTCGGGGCTCAAGCGTGCTGGGACTGTTCAAGGAAGTGGACGTCATCCCTCAGTCGGACATAGCCCCAGCCCCCCACATGGAGAGGAAGAGTACATCGAGGAACAGGAGCTTGTCAATCCTTACGAAGACGAGTCCTACTTTGGCCCCCGTTCCCCTGCGCCTGGCCAACAGCAGCAGCAATATGCTGTACAAGGACAATATCCAACAAGCCCTATGGGGCGGTCCTCTCCATGGAACGCACCCAACACTGGGGAGTGGCGGACCCCTGGCGGATCATTTTCCGCGGCAGGAAATCCTGAAGACCTTGCGCGTGCTCTGTCCAGCCTCGAAATCAACAACAATATCTATGTCAGTAATATGGGATATCAAGCAGGACAATCTGCCCATCCTCCTCGGTTCCAACCCACTCATCCACCCCCCGCCCTTTCCCCTGGTATGCGCTCGGGAAACATTCAGGGCGCCGGTAGCGGCTCTCGCAAATTACAGTTGAACACTGATCTTGATGGGCGTAAGACCCCAACTGCGCAGCCCGGACCAGCGCCCGTCAGCGTCCCCGTGTACGCCCAGTCCGTTGGGGCTCAACAACAAATGCATCAATCGCGCGCTGGTCCCATGAACGAGGCTGAACGTGCAATGACTGCCACCGGTACTACGTCTTGGGAGCAAAAGGAGAAGCTTGGCCAGCGTACTTCTAACCCCAACCTGAACTACCGATACAATCAGGGTCAAAAAAGCAACATCCCTAATGTACCATCCATTCCTTCGCAGTATCTTAATCAACAAAGCGGTCAAGCTCCGCGAATGGGGAATTCCTTTGGCCAAGGACAGACACAAAGTGAGAACAACGCCCAACCCGTTCCCGGGTTCGTCAACACTCCGGTAGACGTTCCGACCCTGATTGCTGGAAAAGGTTACAATCCGCCCAATTTCGATGTTCGTCCTGGTTTTGTACGTTTTCGTTGCTTTTGAAATCACTACCTTAATTAAAGACTCCCTAGGCCCGCTATTTTGTCATCAAGTCATACACGGAAGATGATGTTCACAAATCTCTGAAATACGAGATATGGAGTTCTACTGATCCCGGAAACAAGAGACTTGACAAGGCCTTCAAAGAATGTGGTGGGAGGGGTCCCATCTACCTTTTCTTCAGCGTGAATGCCAGGTAAGTGAGTTGGTGATTCGTTGCTAACATATGCTCACTTTCACCCCCAGCGGACATTTTTGCGGAATGGCGGAAATGTTAACTCCAGTGTGTATGCTTTACTCTCGGACTTCCGAAGGTTCATATTTTTTCTTCCCTGTAGGTGGACTACACAAGAAGCAGTACGGTATGGGCATCCGACAAATGGAAAGGTGTGTTCAAAGTGCGATGGATCTTCGTTCGTGATATTCCGAACGCCAATTTGAGGCACATCCGCTTGAAGTGAGCTGCCACACTAACAGCAATGCTTGTATGCTTACCGTTTGGTTAGTAACACTCAAGAACGCAAGCCAGTGACAAACTCCCGAGACACCCAGGAGCTGTTACCTGAAGCTGGTCAAGAAATGCTCCGTATCTTCCACACCCACCCTGCGAGAACTTCCCTGCTGCAGGACTTTGCCTTTTACGAGGTGCGTAATGGAGATTTGACATTTGGGTTGGTGTTCATATCGCTAGCAGCTTCAAGCGATGCAGAAGATGCAGGTAAATCAGCAGCAACAAGGGGGAGCATCCGATGGTCCCACACCACCATCACAATCTCCTCCCCCACAACAAGCTATGTTCTCGATGAACATGGCGAACATGGCGAACACC